ACCAAAGTCAAATGCGCACAGAAACGAAACAAATTGACTTGTTCGAGAAGGTAAGTGCGCAGTTTCCCACAAGTAACCTTCCTGGTATCAGAACAGTCTCAGTTACAAGCAAACTAGTGTTTTTCCGTGTTGCAGAACAGTTGTTACTGTCGCTTGTTTCACACCACTCACACATCCCTTGGTTCTTGGCACCTATAAAATAAAACGAGCACACAACTGTGCTTCGAACTGTATCGGTGTGTTTTCATCCCACGTCGGCCTGTTCTGTGTTCGCCAATATACTACTTGTCCAGTGGGTTGTCTTTTGAATCACGTGATGCAATCTAAGGAGCTGCTAAGTTGAACCCCTGAGGATACACCAATGTTTCCTTTTCTGAGATAACGACTAAAAAGTCAAAGCCTGTTGATCATATTAATTATAACAATTGCGGATTCAAAGTTGCTTACTTGATGAATTTCTTAATTTTTTGCGATTCTTGGAAATTGTTCATTTTCCACGAAATTTACAAACTCTGCGTTTTCCCGGAATCGCGGAAAACTGGTGTCTTTGACTATCGGTCGTTGTATATTGACTGATCCAAATGGAACCATCTTCATGCGTCCGCGGAACTGATCACGACCCAAATAGCCGGTTTACTGTTCCAACTCGCCAAACTAGGCTGGCACACGACGTTCTGGTTTATGAAAGGAGTTTCTAATCAACGTTTGGTCGATCGACTTGCTCGTCAATGACAACAGGCACCTCACAATTTACAGTATAACAAGAATAAACCACATTTGACAGAGTATACTGAATTCAGCAGTTTCGCGTATTCTCCGGTTGTTTACATACAATTTCTGGAATGGGCATGTCACATTAAAGTGCGATCTTATCGGTGCAATTTAAGGCTGTCGAAAGCCATGGAATTTACGTGCTTCTTGTCAGAGGAAAAAACAATCACTAGCGCGACTGGTCCGAAATCCCTTTGTTTGCAAAAAGCGTTTCAACCACCGAATTGCTAAGGCGACGGTAAACCGAAGTAAGCAGGGAGTACTTTGTCAATTACCTTAAGCCATGCACGTGGGTTTGGCACACGTGCTCTACAAACCTCGCTGTCAGCCTTCTTTCAGTTCGGCCAATGTATTTGCTACCACAAGTACAGTTAAAGAGGTAGATGTATGAAGTGGTAATCTGAGAGTCCATTCTCTCCGGGCTGGATTTGCACAGCAACCCTCTGACTTGGTGCAATGCCACTAGCTCAGCCGTATGATACCACTTCTTAATAAATTAAAGGAGACGATACCGACACCTTTTTTCCAACTTCGTCCTTTTTAAACGACAGCCTAATAAATACTTTTTCCTTAGAAACATCTGTCAGGAGTGACGCATTCCATTTCTCGTTCGATTGTCTCCGGAGAGCAAATTTGACGAGCTCCAGCAAAAGTGGTACGGACTAAAGCTCATTTGTAATTCATAGGGCAGAAGCTATTGAAGTTCAGGTATTGTCCCGTCCGTGTTGGTTTTCTGTACACCGACCGAACGAGTGTACCGTTTGGCTTTCTCTCTATGTTAATATCCAATAAATGGAAGGATCCATCAGATTTGTCTTTTGTCGTGAACTTGATTGTGGGAGGGCACATATTCATCATTTCCATTAAGTATGCGGCCTACTGAGGAGTATCAACGACGACGAATGTGTCATCCATATATCGGCCATAAAAATATACATTTTGTATAAAGAACGTAGTTCGGTGTTTTCCAGGTGACCCACAAGGATATCAGTAAAAACGGCCCAGTGGACTTCTCATCGCCACGCCATCGATTTGCCGACGCACTGTTCTATCGGATCGGAAGTGGAAATCTTTTGTGCATAGTTGGAGTAATGACTGGTGTTGGGGAACTGGAAACTCCACTTTATCAGCATGTCTCGCTCTAATATACAACGTTTATTCCCAAGGGACGTTCGTGAATAACGAGCATACACCGAAAGTGACAATCTGCTTTCCCTTTACGTCTAAATTATATATCTTGTTGACAAGTTCTGGCGTACCCGATGTGTTTCTTCCGGAAGGACTCGATGAGTTCCGCTAGGCATCATGTTAATTTTTAGTGCAGCACGTCTACTATTGTTACGATTGAACATAGGGGGATACCCTCTTTATGTATTTTTGGTAAGCCATACATGTGAAGAAGTCAAGATCTCCGAGCGCGGAGCTGTGTCATAGTTCTTACATCCGTCAATCCCGCGTGCATTAGCTTTTCAATTCTCGAACTATTAACTTCTCCATCTGCTCGGTTTTGTCGCGGCCTGTCACCTCACGAACGAAACGGTTGGGTACTACAGGAGTTATTTGAACCTTCTGAATGTAGTCTTGCCTTTCCAACATTACGATGCCTGATCCCTTATCTGGTCTCAGTATTACCACATTTTCATTTCGGCGTAGTTGCATTAAAGCCTCCCAATGATCCTTCGGTAGAGTTCTGCACTTTGCCTTTACACTGACAGAATTGGCTGACTAAATCTACCATTCTAACTCTAAACTAGCCACTTACGTCCTGGCTGATCGGTGTTAAACTGGAGATTTGTTTGTACAGACACTCAAACTGAGGTTCATTCCCTATTCTGTCGCATTTATATGGTGGAACTGGAAAATTGGAACCCAGCGATAAAGCTCCAAGTTGTTGGCGACTCAAGAAGGTGGTAGATAGATACTTCTCAGATTCTAACGTCATCTGGTTGTTGAGCGATTCCGTTGACATAGAATTCATTAGTTACTTTCTAGTACTTGGACGTGTTTTAAGCGGTAGTGTGCTAAGAAAGTTGAAGAATTTTGGCGCGGCATACAAGATTTGAACAATTCAGTACTCGATCTACACATTTTCTGGTGTTTAAGTCGGTAATGCACTGAGCAGAGGCTTCGATGTGGAATCTAGTTAGTCTTCGCAAGTTCCGAGCTTTAACTGACAAATTGTCTTTACGATTTGACGCGTGCAAGTAGAAGTTCGCAGGCATTAGCGGTAAACATTCGCATTTGTTGTCTCGTGAGCAATGCAGCAACGTATTTTCATCAATTCGTCTGAGTACATTACATTTCTAACAATTATAATTTTAGGATATGGTCCCACTTGCCGAACTGATCGTTGCATTGACCAAGAACCAAGTTGCAGTCAGTCGCATTGAAGATGGGCGATAAAAGCGCTTTGTGTACGCGTTGACCTTATCGACTTGAACTGTCGTCGACATATGTGTACGTATAGGTGGGATCTGATCTAAACGTTAGCTCCCGTTTTGAGTTCACTCGATGCTTATCATGGGTGTACAACACAACGGCGGCAGGGCATCGTGCTTTCATTCGCTGCTTTTTTTGGTGTGTTTGGATTTGGCATTCAGCTACAACTGAAATCAATTCAAATAAGTCACCTACAGCAGTAGCAGTGAGTGCAACTCCGACATGGTCGGTACTTCGAGCAATCGGTTTTGCATCGCGGGAGACGCGGAACTATGGATCCTCTTCTACGACTGAGGTTTATTGGAACAAAGCCATGGTGTGATACCAGTGGTGGATTTTTAGTAGTAAACCATTAATTCTTCTGGTTTGAATAGCTTCAATGCCGCTTGGGATTGTCATTAAATAGGGCTCAACGGATCACGGAAGTCTCGAATCGCTTCATCACTTCAGGGACCAATCTCGTGGTTATAACCCAAGTGTTCATCTTGCATAGCTGCGATCGCAGTGGCTGATTTATTTCCTTGAATTTGCACTGCAGTTGACGCTCCTGGAACATCACCTCGACTGTCCTTTTGCCTAGGCAACACCTGCATTATCCATTGAGCACATTGAGCTCCACGGAACGAACAGCGTGTCAGTCAGTCTCCTTTTCAACCTGTCCTAGCAGGCCTACTCCCATTCTCATTGCGCATAGTTGCATAAAACCGTTGTTTAGCCCAGAAGGCACTCACAAAGCTCCTTTTCTACTTCAGCTGCTAATCAGAACTGTGTACGCCTTATATGCATTATATCCCCATACTATATTTGTTCATTGTTTATACAGTTCGGTACAGTAACCACAATAGTCCTTGTCAGTGGAGCCATGCACTGCTTCCAAGGACCCATGGACCTCCCCTTTCTGACAGCATTCAACGTGGCGTTACGTTTGCCTCCATTTCTGCTCCCATTTTGTATATTCTATGCATCCGGGTTCTCGCCTTAGTTACAGACACGCCTTGCGAAACTTGCTTCCTGTTCCGACTGTCTGAGTACTCGTCATGCGGAGCAGTATCACTGTTATTCAACACCAGTGTGGCAGTGGTTGTGCTGTTGTCACCGAACTGATTGGGCAGCTTTCGATCATTTGCTCCGTAGCAGTTATTTACTCCTTCGGATCATGTCTCATCGGGCCACCTGAATCCGACATCGCCAAGGAGTGCATGCTCCAGCCTACGCAGCTTCTCTACGCTGCTAAGAGAATAGCTGCTGACTTCCTGTCTGTTCATAGTAGAGTATTTCATGGATTTACTGACATACATATGTAAATTGGTACGCGCCAACTTATTATCGATACGACATTCAGGTGCTCACGCTACATGTACCGTGCACACTTCGCATTCGTCAAGTTGACGTGTGATATAGCCCGGCAGATGAGGATGTATCTAAGTGGTGATTTCATTAATCTCAAACGAATCTGAGCGTTGATGATCGTCATGCCATGAGTGGCTTTTGTCACTGCCAGCGGGAGTGGAGTGGAATCTCGGTATGCGTGCTTTTTCGGCTTTCTCCATTGACTCACGCTCATCTTGTGCCTTATTAATTTTTGCATGTTCCTGCAATTAAACATATTTGCCGTTACTTTATGCTGTTTGTCGTTTTTCGGCCTACGACTTCATCGTATCCATGTCTACCGGATTCAAGCCACTCTGTGATTCCACACATGGCGTCGCGGGTTGCAGGCACTTTACTTTTAATATGACCACTCATGCAATTCCTAACGACACACTACCAAAGCATATTTGCCCTTTCAGTTGTCGCAGTGGAAATCGATCCCTCACGGCTCGCAATGGCAAAACATAACGCCGCAGTCTACGGTGTCGAATCGGAAATCGAATTTGTGTGCGCCGACTTTTTCGTTTGGGCCAAGTCCAAACTTCGAGACGGGTCCATGAAAAGCGCCATTTCCACCCGTGATCCTTATTCTGCAGTTTTCATGTCGGCTCCGTGGGGCGGGCCGGACTATCTGAACACCGCTACTTTTGATATCAATTGCATTCAGTTCGGAACGGCGTGTGAGGAACAGCACACGTTTTTTCACGCGGTTCAACTGGCCAGCCAACTTGCTCTAGGCCGTGTCATTCTGTATATGCCACGCAACACGAATATGGCTCAACTGCACGCTTTGAGTACCGCGGCGAGGGCTGCATCTTTGCGCGTCGCCGAACCATCCTCTACCTTTTCTTTCGATGTTCATGAAATCGAGGTAGAAGCCAACATGTTAAATTTTAAACTAAAGTCTTTAACCATCTATTTCGGGGATTTGTGTAACGTGACACGTAGCTCAGCGAAACCAAATTCCTTCCCATCGCCAGCTAACCATCACAGTTCCCCCACTTACTCGAACACGGACTACTGTGATGACTCTGACTCCTCCTCTCCTGAATACGCCACTGCCTTAGAAGACTAAAATCATTTGTAAATCATCCGAACGACTTTCTTATTTCACCTTGGCCACAGTTTCTGTACATTTCTCTTGTATATTTTATCATATTTTTATATAACTGAATTTTGCCCACTTCTTCCGTATCTCGTCTGTTTTGTTCGTTGGGGATGCGTGAAATCACCTTAGTGTTTCTGTGGATCTAAGAGAGATAGATGTACGAACCCCATCATCGGATGGCGTACCGTGGACATTCGTTGTTATTTTTCGCTCTTTAAACCTTTGCCCCTGGCTACGCTCTTGATCATCGCCAACATTTAGTAGCCTTCCAATTTTCAAATCGGACTCTTGTCAGTGAACAAAAATCTGTTGTTCTTGGAACTAGGAATCGTTTAATCCCCGCAAAGATTTGAATTGCCATCCCGTCATAGCTTATTTCATCAGCTAACCACTTTACAAGTCCGTAGGTTCATTGCTCCCCAGTCGCTGATCGTTCGTTATTACTCAGACCAACCAACAACTACTGTCTGGGGCTACGTTGAGCCTCGTTCGCGTTATTCCTAGCCACTTCTGGAGTTCTCTACCTATGCGATTACCGTTGGGTTGTGTGAGTGGCATCTATCCGTCTGCTGCCACACATCCTTTCAATTTCCCCAGTTGGCTAATGTGGCGCATGAGTTACCATCTCCAATCAGCGTTCACACCAGTATCAACCGTGTGCGCCTGTCTGTCTATCGATTACCCACTCACCAATGGTTGGCTTCAGTTACTCTGTACCTGTTCCGGTCAGAATACACATTTGCACGCGACCAGCTAGACGTGTTCTGTTATCTTTGCGTCGTTCGGATAAGAGCCATTATTACGTTCGCGGGCTAGCGTTACTTCAGCTTGTGTAGAGTTGAACAGCCAGCTACCATCGCACTCTGCACTGCCAGCTTAGTTCGTTGTTTTAGTTCCCGATCCACTTGGCTTTGTTTGGAATAAAATGGCACCTACTCGACTTCGGAGCGACTCAGCGCCGCATCGAGTTCTCTAAAGTTTATGAACGAATTCTCGTCTGTCCACACAGCATATCCCTACGTACCCAGTTGGCTTATCGATGTGGATGTCTTGAAGATTTTCGCATCCCTGGTTCCAGTTCAAATTCAGCTATACCTTCCCTGAGAGACAAGGTTGGGATGACCTCAATCACGTAGTGCGGGGTTTGGAGCAGTCATCATCATTGCGCTTTTGCCGAGTACGGTCCCAGTGCTTAAGCTGACCGAAATTTGATTTTATGCGAAGCACCGGAAACCCAAAAATCTTCTGACGTCAGGATGTCATGGGTACAGTTCCTGGTTGAGCCGGGTGATACGTACTACTGACGAGCACCATTGGGATGAAACAACCGTCCAGTGCTTTTCTGGATGTGAGAATGACTGTCTGACTAAGTTGATAGCGATGCAGTTTATTCACTACATGTTGCGACCAGGTTACACTGCGTACACTGCTCGTTCAATCCAGGTCTCCATTTGGGTGAACTATGGCGTTCATTCACAAGTGGCATCCGAAGCAGTTGCCGTTACAGGACCCACTGCCTGAGTGCCATACCTCATATTCGGTCACATGCACGCAGTTACTTGTTTTTCCACGCGGTACCTCAGAAGGTGAGCAACGGTATTCGTTCAGGTTAAACCGTGTAATGCTCACACGTGTTCTTTCTACTGTTCGGGTTCTGGATCCAATAGGGTATACGCGCTAAATACATACACTCTAAATCGAGACTTATTAGCTATGTGTAGGCTTTTCTCGTTTTGGCGTTGGGATACGACCGACGATTGGTGACAGCTCGTAAAATACAAAGTGTTGACAGGTCGTGTGCTACTTATTCTCGGTGCATCAGAAATTCCATACAAAGGATACCAGAATAATGGCACAAAGCAAACGCGCCGGTTTCACAGACAGAATGTGCTAAACTGTTTTGATGATGACTAGGTTGGCTAACCTACAGCGTGTGGTTTAATGCTGTGGTTACGATTTGTCATAGATATCTCTGCGAAGGATTCTATGAGGTGGTGGACAGAGCGCAGCCGATGTTCTCTAGTGATCCATTCCGTGATATACTATCCTGCATAGAGCACACTGAGCTTTTGCGATATTGCATGCAATGCTTCGGACAAACTGTGTTATAATCGCGGTTACTTGAGCCTAGAACCGTTAGAGCAAAGACTTTCAGTGCACCGGACATTGTTTTGACCAGATCACAAGTCACATGAAACATGCAAGAAAACTGACATTATCGGTTAAAGTGTGTGTAGCTTGATGCGGTAGCTTGATGCAAATGGGGGAGAGTGAAGCTCACGGTCAGGTGTGTGGGACGACATAGTACTTTTAAAGCACCGGATCACCTGGCGTAACATCTCCTTTGAAAGCACGTTCTCCAGACTCATGGGAATGAAGTGTTATGTTCACCTGTAAACGTCGGATCGGTTTAGTTTTCCGCATAGGTCTCCGTGGCATGACTCTGTGCACGTTTCCGTCGACTCACTAAGACCCAAAGTTTTTGTTAGTTCGCACATGTCCAGCAGTATATCGAACGGCAACTCGAAAGTAGAAGTGATTATGTTTTCGATCCGTCGTTTTCTTAACGGATTACCGTGCCGTACTAAAGACAACGGTCCGATAAACACCTCGAACAGCACAGTGCCTTTTCTTTATCGCACCACTGCATGTTACCAGGTTTGGTGGTTCGGCCTTGTATCCAACGCGTACACCGGCTTCCCTGTGAGAAAACTTCTTCTCAAACCTGACGCGAGTGGCCGTTGCGTAACCATAGGGCGTATTGCATCAATTGGAAGACGTATCTCGCCCCCGAACATGGCTTCCGCTGGGGATTTGCCTCTTGGTACAGCGGGGTTAGGTGTAGCCAGATAAGTGAACTGGAACAGCTGTATGATCTAAAACTGCGGGAGGAAGGACCGACAGAGGAGAAGTGAACGTTTGAAAGTATCCACAGATCTTTCTGCTTGATTGGGTAT